TGCTGGAGCAGGCTCCTGGCAGGACCTGGGACCCCGTGGAGAGAGGAGCCCATGCTGGAGCAGGTTTGCTGGCAGGACTTGTGACCTTGTGGGGGACCCACGCTGGAGCAGTCTGTTCCTGAAGGACTGCACCCCGGGGAAGGGACCCACGTTGGAGCAGTTCATGAAGAACTGTCTCCCGTGGGAGGGACCCCACAGTGGAGCAGGGGAAGAGTGTGAGGAGTCCTCCCCCTGAGGAGGAAGGAGCGGCAGAGACAATGTGTGATGAACTGACTGCAACCCCCATTCCCCACCCCCCTGTACCGCTGAGGGGGAGGAGGTAGAGAATTTGGGAGTGAAGTTGAGCCTGGGAAGAAGGGAGGGGTAGCAGGAAGCTGTTTTAAGATTTGGTTTTATTTCTCAGTACGCTTCTCTGATTTGACTGGTAATAAATTAATTTCCGAGTTGAGTCTGTTTTGCCCGTGACGGTAATTGGTGAGTGATCTCTCCCTGTCCTTATCTTGACCCACAAGCCTTTTGTTATATTTTCCCTCCCCTGTCCAGCTGAGGAGGGGAGTGATAGAGTGGCTTCCTGCATCCAGCCAGGGTCAACCCACCACAATCCATCATGCCATCTTAAGAGCCAAATAGTCGAGGCAGCTGGAGGCACGCTTGCAGTACAGAAGTGAGCTGGGTAAGACATGGGCTGATGGCCTGGGAGGGATCTGAAGCAATGCAGCCAGTGTGTTTGGGGAAGGTGGCGAACAGAAGACTCTGGGGCCAAGGATGTAGGAGTGTTACCTTGGGGCTTTTATGGTGAAGTTTCAGGTGGAAGTCAGCAAGGCTGGATTTAGTTCAGCAAAACTCCATGGGGAGCAAAGGAAACCAAGTCTTACATTTCTTTCTGCTAGAGGGAAAAATGAAGACTGCTTTTTATTATCTCAAGGCAAGATGACTGTGAACGGCAAATACAGTTTTGTACTAGAAGTAACTCTCACATCTTTTCTTTTCTTTTTTTTTTTTAATTTTCCAATATTAGAGTCTGATGGCTGAGAGAAACTTTGGCAGTAAAATATTCCAACACAAGGGAGAAATCTTGCTTATTTATTTCCTTACTCTGAGATGAAATGTATTTGGAAAAATTTAGCACTACCAAGTTCCTTAAAAGTCTTACGATGATGACCTCTTGAAGAGAGTGAACATTTGAGCAATGCTTAATGCGTACATGGGGGCATTAAAACCATTTTGTTTTACTGATTTTGGATGGGCACAGGTGTGTTGAGGAAAGAAAGGCTGTTACTAGCCTCTGAGCCTCACAGACCACTTAACTGCCTGCAGGCATACCAATTAAGTGGAATTATCATCCCAGTTAACCATTGTCCCTTGCCAGTCAAAACTCATTTGGTTTAATTCAGCTCCCTAGGAAATGTCCCAATTAACCAGATTTCGTAATTAACTGCGTCCTGATTAAGTGAAGTGTACTAGTACAGCCTGCATTAATAAAGGAGCATATTCTTCTTGTTGCTTAAATCATTTTCCAAAATTTTGGTTTACAGGTGATGGTCTCAGAAAATGAATGTCGCCATTTGGGTTTTTGTTCTAGTAGCTACAGACTTAAAAGTCGGTTGGGCCACTGACATGAGTAATTTCAGCAGGACTTGCCAAGAAAGTGTTATCTGTAAACAAAGGCAGCAGAGGTGTTTGTATGTGCTGTTCTAGGCTGAAGATTTCATTCAGGTGGGATGCAGCCATGAGGTTAGTACTTCGGTTGGTGAATCATTGCTTCTTGATCTCAAGAGATCTTTGCAGACTCAAGTGAGCTGACATACGGGCCAGATTTTTTTAATATATTCAGACACAGAATTAGGCACAGAATGTATCTGAAAAAGTGTAGTCTCTGCCACATGAAACACATTCAGACTATGCTCAGCGCTTAGTCATTGTGCTGTTTGCTTCAAGGTACGGTTTAGTTTGTTGACAGAGGACTTCTCAGATACTCCCTGGGTCTGTGACCTGTGAATAAACATGAAGCTGAGTTGCCTCCCGGTAACGTGTGACCATGATACTTCACATCACATAAATGAAACAAGACAATAGAAGTCGTCGGAAGGTGGGGGAGCACTTGAAGAAATTAAGAGCCTAAGATATCTCATTCATTTGATTAGATTATATTGTGAGTAGAGTGTATTGCCTTTGTAATGTTATGTAGCTGAGTCTACTAATTATAATGTTATAATGTTTTTCATCCAAGAATCTCAAATCTTGACTACACAGGAACATTTAGGGAAGGAGATAGAGGTGAATCAACTACAGGTATAGAGCGAAGTTCCTCTATGGATTTCTTCTAAATCGGGAATGAAAGAGCTGAATACAATTCTGCACGCAGACATTTTCTGTGCCTTGTCATGACTTCTTAATTGATTTGCCTGAACTTTCCTGTACTTCTTCGTCAAAAAACCCCGAGACCCTTTCTGAAGCCTTGTATGACTGCAGTTACCCTCACTGATTTGCTCGACATGGGCTTAAAATCAAGCAAACTTGGCCTTCAATTCTGAACAGGTGATCGCAGGCTGGGGGGAATTCATCACTGTCCCTGTTTTGGCAGAGGTATGACCTAAATCTGCCAGCACGTGATAAATATGCGTGGACGGAGCTTTTCAGCAATACAGAGGTTTTCATAGTGACTATTTATAATCCCATATGTCATTCGTCATTCACAAAAAACAGGTTTCCAAAATAGTCTCAGGACCTAGCACATAAACCCACAACCACTTTCATTCTCAGATGGGTGTGATGGGTACCAGGAGGCCTCGGCTGGTAGAAAGGAGTTCTTCTGGATGTCTGGGGGAGCTCTGCTACTTTCAGCAACTTTAAATGTTCCACTTTTTGAATGAACATTTTTTTAGCATTTTCTTTTATGGCAGTCTGACCATGACCAAGATGAGTCAAGTCAGCACGAGGAGCCCCATATACAAGAATTAAGCCCCGCACTAACCCAAGAAAAGACAACCTATCAATCCTGAAATATTAAAAGTGTAGCATACAGCAGAGGGACATTATTGTGCAAAAATGATAACCAAAACAATTCGGGATGTAAGCAGGCTCACAAAAAAGATAAAAGCCTGTTTTATCTTTTCTGGGTGGCTTAGGTATCTCTATTTATGTTTTAATCAGATAAAAGCGGTAGTGAAAGAGGAAAGAAAATGTCAGTGGCTTGATTGCTTTCACAGTTTTTACTGTGGGAGATATTAAAAACATTAACAATAGATAGTATCATAAGAGGTTTCTGATAACTTATAATTCTCTACAGCCAGCTGGGAATGAAAAAGCTTGAAAATGTTTCCCATGTGAAAAATTTCTCTGTCACAATGAAATTTTCATTTTCTGCCTTTTATGCTGTGACTTTTCTCTCAGACCCACTTGGGATGTATTGAGCAAGGCAATATTAAAAAAACAATAATTCTCTAGAGTAGTCCTTCAGCACTGTCACATAATTTGAAAACAGCTGAACCGCACTCTTGTCACTCTCTTCAAGCTGAGATGAAATATTTTCATTCATGTTTGTTCTTGAGGCTTCCCAGCTCTCAAGATTTGCTTAAATTTTTAAGTTCCTCAAACCCTAGATAACATGCAAAATCCAAATTGGAAATCAGCACACTTTGATTAAGGATTCTGGATTGTATGTGTATCATCCTGAGAAGTGAGGGATCAACATTCAACTGATATTTACCTTTTTATTTTTTGAAGATTGATGAAGCAAAATAGGATTTCCTTAATTTTCTCTTGGTTGCATGTGTTGTATAGTTATATTGATGATAATGATTGAAGGTGTGAATACCAAAAGATAAAATTACCAAAGCCAGAATTTCAGGAATTAACCTGCCTAAGATTAGCCAGGTACCTATATCCTTATGGATGTAGTATCTGCAAGCAAACTGTGCAAGGCAATTTGAAATGCAAGTGTTTCTTTTAGCTATATGCACATAATTTATCACTGAAAAGGAAAAAAAAACCTTTCATTTTTTTGATTATGTTTTTTGTGTTCAGGGCCACTACAAATTTAACTACTGTTTGTACAGGAAAAGTGTAGAAACGTGGTATTTTGCAATTTTTTCTTTCTTCTCACTGCTATATCAGTTGTTAGAGCACATCAGTGTTCTAAAGTCCTGCCTCTTCCAACCATTCTAGATGCCAAGTTCTGTACTAATTGCAAAAACTCAAGGGAAATAGCAGAAAAGTCTTTGAAGGATAAAACGTAATGGTTGAAATGGAAAGTTCTGAAGGCATGATAGAGGAGTACCAGTGCTCTAGAAGGAAAGCCTCACAGAAACCTGGAGTTTTTCCTGATTTTAATTACTTTGAATTTTTTTGTTTGAGTAATACCATTAATAGGAAAACACTCAGCACGAAAACTAACATGCTAATTATAATGTTGTGGGATTTAGAGATGGAAGAGAGTAATGCAGGTAATCTATATCTCCCTGCCAATGCTGACTTGTTCTTGTGAAAACAATCTGCATGCCTTGTAAAAGGACCATTAAAAACATATACAGAAAAATCAAAATTAGAGACATTAAATTTGTTGTATTGTTTTTGGCTGTAGCTTGTGAAAATGTTGTTGCATTTAAGTAACAAAAGAAATTAAAGTTAAAAAATATTGCTATGTTCCGTTACGAGCAGTACTGTTTTGAATTTTCATCAGCATCCTGAAAGAAATAAGCCAGTCTGGATTTCAGCAAAGAGTTATTAACAACAACTCCAAAATGTAGCAATTGTTTATGGTCTTATCCCATTTTTAATCTGCTGATACCACATGCTTCTGCATGTTCCTGTGAAAACAAGTTCTAGAAATTCCCTACCTGTTGTGTAAAATATTTTCTTTCACCTGTTTAAACCTCGCTCCTGCTAGCTCAGTGGACTGCCCTCTGCGACTTCCGTTGGGGGAGGTGGGCAGGGGGAGGAGAGAGATTTGGTGTATTACAGTTCCTTACTCAGTTTATCCATGGTCAAATTATTTCATTATTTTGTAAACCTCAGTCTTATCCCCTTCAATATTTACCGTGTCCAGTTCTGGGCTCCCCAGCACAAGAGAGAGATGGACATACTGGAGAGAGACCAGCAAAGGGTCATGATGATGACTGAGGGACTGGAGCATCTCTCATATGAATAGGTGCTGACAGAGCTGGGACTGTTCAGCCTGGAGAAGAGAAAGCTCAGGGGGATCTCATCAATGCATATAAATACCTGAAGGGATGGTGCAAAGAAGACAGAGCCAGGCTCTTTTCAGTGGTGCCCGGTGACAGGACCAGAGGCAATGGGCACAAACTGAAACATGGGAGGTTCCCTCTGAAATTAAGGAAACACTTTTTCACTGTGAGGGTGAATGAGCACTGGCACAGGTTGCCCAGAGAGGTTATGGAGTCTCCATTCCTGGAGATATTCAAAAGCTATCTAGACACAGTCCTGGGCAACTGGCTCTAGATGGTCCTGCTTAGCAGGGGGGTTGGACCAGATGACCTCTGGAGGTCTCTTCCATCCTCAACCATTCTGTGATTCTGTGACCATTCACTTCTCTAAACAGAAGAGTCCAGGTGTCTGAAGTCTTACCTCATAAGATAGCTGCTCCATCCCCTGGTTCATTTTAGTTACCTTCCTTTGTACCATCTCTCAGTTACATCCTCCATTATATAGTTATCCATCCTCCATGCAACTCCATTACATCCATCCTGAGATGGGCAGACCAGAATTTCACTTGGTACACAGGATTTTACATGAGTAAAATCAACTGTCTTTTTCTCAGTACCCTTTTTGATGATTTCTGAAGCTTTTCTGGCTTTTTAACTGTCACTTCATATTGAGCTGTTTGGGATTAGGGTCGGTGTTTTCACTCCTGTGGAGCACTTAATCTGAGATACTTTTAATCTCATTGACCAGAGAATCCAACATTAAGTGTTTTGAGAAAACTGTTCATCGTAGCAAGGGTCTCATTGACTTTGATTGCAGTTCTGGTTGCTGCATGACATTAAGTCAAGTTCTGGGAATCTCAGTTTAGAAACTGAAACCCCTAAGAATAAGACTTGGCATAGCTGACTTGCCCAGTCCAGCTGATCTGTCTATCCCATGCTCTCCTTTCTCATTCACTGTATAGTTTCTAACATTTGTAGCTGATAAAACAACGGTTCTACAAGCAATGTTTTTCAGTACACAATGTACCCTGAGCACTATTAAATCCGTGCAGTTGACTGACAAGGGCTCTTGTTGAAAAAGCCATTCTTCCACCCTGTCTATGGACATATTAAAATTAATATAAAGCATATATTTTATTTTATTATCTATAAATTCATGTAGAAATTAAATAAAACAGCTAGTTAATTAATATAGAATTTTTGTCTGCAGATTTTCCAGAATGCACTAGCAGCCTATTTTTACTTTTGTGATTATATATTGTATTTTATTGAATATATATTAATATTTGTTTTAGCAATTGTAGACTCCTGTAAAATTCTTATATCTACCATTTAAGAGTACAAAGAACATACAGAAGTCACCCCATACTTTTTTATTTACGATGTCAAAACATTGCTGGCAGCTGTGAAATCCCTTGGGGAGAACTGAATCAAGTAATTGTAAGAATGAACTGTAGGGGTATGCAGTTCTTTGTGCCAGTGAGTAACTGTTCTCCACCCTTTATTCTCTAGTAATTCTTAAATAAATTTTAAATCATTGAACATATCCATAGTTATTAAACTATTTAGAGAAAATTAAAGCAAATCAAACATCTCTTCTCAGTTTAGTATGAGTAATATTAATTCATGCTTGTATTCTGTAAACCTGTCATGTCTGGAGGCCTTCACCTCCAGTTGCTTGTAGAGAAGCTATGAGTGTTGCATAGTAGTCCAAAAATAGAGATAGGTATTTCATTATTCTACTTGCTATATTTCAAGCTTAGGGAAACTGGAAATATTCCCCGAACAAAGAGAAAAGGAAGCTCTAACAGGAGTCTGGAGTGTTGATAGGGTGGCCCTTCCACTCTGGGCTCATTGTTGAATGTAAATATATAAAAAGTCCTGAAAGCATAAGGCAGAGTACAGGAATTATCTTTTCAAAGTAATTTTAATAAATTCTAACTGACAAGGAGAAGAATTAACTTTTAGCTAATGTTACTACTTTAATACTGAGGTTAAAACGCATATCCAGAGAGTGGTCCTCAGTTTAGGGGATATTAAATTCTTACCTGCAGGTTGTATTAGTGCAACAGATAGAGTGGGATGTGTCTTCTCTCCTCCACGCTGTTCTGTTCATCTCCTAGTGTATGCTTTGACCATTAACATACGCTCCTGGGAAATGACAAAATGTGGTTCTGAACTCCATCAAGCAAAGCTGATCCCAGACTCCCAGAGCAGAAGCTCCAACAGGGAAGCTGTTTCTTCATGTGCAGTATTCTCTCTTGCTGCTTTTTGCAGTTTAAAGAGAGCAACACCAACAGGTGCGTTTTGTGTGACACCTGATGCTGTAAACGTGTATTGAGTGTGTTCTGATATATACTAGACAGAGCCTCTCAAGGCACTGCAATTAAGGGAGACCTGGTGTTCAGAAATCAAGCTGAAGAGCTCATACCATTTAAGCCTGCGCCGGTTGTGAATGGTTGCCAGCACAAAAGTCTGTGCTCTGGTGAACTTTGGGACAAAAGTATTGGGAACACATGAAGTTTTGTTGTCTTCAAGATCAGATAAATCTGAGCAGGAAAAAGTTCAGGATTGTAGTTACAACTTTAGAGCTAACTCTGCCTTACTCTCAATTTTGGTGTCTATGGCTTTCAGTATTCAAGAACGCTGAATAAGAAAAAGGCAGACTTGATCTTACATGTAGAAAACTCTTGTTTTATCATCCACAATTTATAAAGAGAAGGCAGACATTGTTATATGCAAGTGTAGGTAACAACTTTACTATTAAATTTTCCAGTTTCACAAAGAAACTGTTTTGATCAATATTTTAATTTCACTTGGGCAGGATGGGGAAGAGATCTCAGCAGATGGTTGTCATAAACTCTATACCTCATTTTGGAATTAGTGTACAAAGCTATCCAGCTTGGCACTAACTACACAGCATAATCTTCATGCATGTTCGTGCCAAAATAAATCTGGCATGGAGAATATTTTTTCTAATTATTTTTAGATTTTATTAACCAACATCAGACCTGCTTAACCTATGGTTGCTCTACCCATAAATCTGTATGTTTCATAGTTTTATGAGAAAAAAACCAGTCAGTAATCATACAGCAGTGACCTAAATCACTAATTGTTAGCATTATTGGGTAACTTAATTAGAATGATCAGTAAGTTTTCTTGCTACTGTAACAGCTATTGCCTGATGGTGAGTCTGAGTGAAATGGTTGTGCCTAAATTACAAGTAAGCTTTTTGAGAAGAGAGACGTTTAGAAGACATACTAATACTCATAAGGAGAAAGTTGTCACTGTTAAGATTATTTAAATAAAACTCTTCTTATTTTTGTAACATTTTTTATTTTTTTAATGGGGGAACAATTCCTCAGTGTACATTTGTGAAGGGAAGAAAGGTAGTATCATCAGGAGAAATTCTTCCCCATCCTTTGTCCACCTCATCCATTGACTCAGTATACATAGTATCCTAACAAGTATTTTCATTTCATCCTAACTCTGGAATAAAATTTAAAAACCACAACCCACTATGCAAATGGAGGCCATCCCCTATAGGGCAGTCTGAAAGCATATTGGCCCCAGAAGTTTCTGAAATTCCGTTTGTGCTTGTGTAATTAGTACATTCCAAAGCTAACAACACGTTATCTTCAGAAGTACCTCTGAAGTAAGGATAAAAAATACCTCTGGCAGATACTAGATACCTCTGAAAGAGATTAGGTAGTTATAGAAAAAGAATGAACATCAACAAAGGCTGGGAGCTTTTTGCTTACTGTGTCTTATCTGTGAACAAAGATTTTTCACATGAGAAAAATAGTATGGATAACATTTCAATATCAAAGACTGATGATAAAAGTAATAAATAGAATCTCAACAGAGAAATTTGGATGCCTGTGTTTTAGGCCTTAAAAGACAAAGACCATTGACAAGCTTTTCAACAACATAATGGAATCTAAACAGGTGGAGTTGAGTCCTCTGAATGCCCTAGCACAAACTCTTGTCTTCTTTTCCATAGTTCATTACAGACAGCTAATGAGCAGCAAAGGTAAACACTTTCCTTCTTTGCATACTGGGACACAGGCACCCCGTGGCAAGAGCTGTGTGGCAGCAGTCCCACCACCACCGAACCCTCACTGCCAGAAGAGGAGGGGACGCCCGGGGGGTTCTTCTACCACCAGCTGATACCCATTCTGCTATTAGAAACTCCTCCTAGATTTTGGTGTTTAATAGTGTGTATCCTCATCTTTGGCCTCTGACTGGTGTGGCTTAATATAGGAAGTTGGTGTCTTCATGGAAGTGTGACTAATAATGCTATCAAACCTGAATTTGTTTCGTCATTTATTGTGTCTTACAGAGAGATAACTGGAACCATTTGTCTAGGATATGCCATTAAAAATGAGAACCCTACTTTGAATTTGTCGCTTGAACTCAGCTTTGTAACTCAGTCATTCTCTCTTTGGAATCATTCAAAATATCTGATGTAACAAATTTGGATCCAAATGTCTCAATGCTTTTTTCCCAATTGTTCATTTCTTTAACAAATGGCTAACGTAACTTTGTTTAAAAAGAAAACAGAACTGTAGAAAAGAGGATGGCCATTTCTTCATGAAAAATGATTTTTCATGTCTGCACTTTCGATATTAGATATGCTTTTTTTCCTATTCTTGAAAAAGAAAGTTTGGTATGCTCATCTTTGTGATACACGTGACTGATGTGTGATGTGTGAGTCAGGCCACAGAATTCAGCAATGTGAAAACTAGGAGAGTTTCCCTATAAAGCCCGAGTCTGGAAACACAGGTTGGCTTTAAGACCTACTGATGGGATAATAGGAACCAGGGAGTAAAAGTCCAAGAGAGCAAGCGGTGCTTGCTATATTCCATTGGATCCAAATTAAACTTTATGTGCTTTGTAAACTGATATTTTAACTGATATGATTGAATGAATAAGAGGAAAAATGTGCCCTTTATGATTATTATCTTTTTATTCAGGGCCAGGGGAAATTAATTTATAAATAATGTACCTGCCCTTTACACTGTTATTCACATTTGTGAAAGCTCCACTGGCTGGGGGGGGATTATGCTAATGATAGCTTTGACCCAATGGTCAGTGCAGTCTGCAATTATAATGATAGCTTTGACCCAATGGTCAGTGCAGGAAGTCTGATGCTTAAACTATGCTTCTGCGAGTGGTTTCCTCTATCTGTTTCCAGCCTTTTAATAATTACTTTTGTAAGTAGGCTAAAAAAGCAAAAAAAAAAAAGGCTAATGTGATAATTAGTAGAAATAAAATAATGTATTTTGCATAGTGATTTGTACATATGTTTCAACTTCTCCATATTTTGCATTTTGCTTATGCAGGGGGGAAACTAAAAAGTGCATAGTTTATCTCTTTCTTTGGGAATGGACAGGACAGATAGTTTGGATGAGGGCAAGAGTGGGACAGTCACACAGGGGTTCTGCATCACATGACTAGGAATGTTTGATGGTGATGTTGTTTTAACCCTTTTAGTGCTGATGACTAAATATGTTCCTCATAAAGAAAAATCAAATCAGCTCCCCATGAACTTTTAGGTGTGTTCCCAGATGCCCATGAACTTGTAGTCAAGCACTGGGGAAGGGTAAGAATTCCCGCTTTTCATTCACTGTATAACCTTATGGAAGATATTTAACATTGAGGCAACTTGATACCTAATTAGGAAAATGAGCATAATCATACTTAATTACTGTGCCTATTTCATAGGGGAGTATGAAGATAAATTAGGTATAAGAGCTTGAAATATAAAAAGCTTTGTAAGTGGATAATATGATCCACTTGTTCAGACTACTGACCTCAATTTATAATGAAGAAGCTGCAACAAATAAGTGTATGAGAAAGATTTGTGTTAACTAATGATTTTTCTGCTATAATGGGACTTAACATATCTACATGAGAGCCTTCTCAAATTGTGAGAAAAGAATCTGTGGCAACAACTCAGAAAATTGCATCAAAAGAGAAAAAAAAGCAAGAAATGAAAATCACATGAAATTCCTTTCTTTGTAATGACGTACAATTCTGTTGTCAGTCTTACATAAATAGTTTTCAACATCAAGGACAGGGATGACTGTTGACCATAATATTTGTGTCTGAGATAGTAGAATAAGCAATGCCTCTTGAAATGTTGCATCATTTAGCAATACGCTAGAATATATTGTCCTGGTTTTGGCTGGGATAGAGTTAATTTCCTTCCTAGTAGCTGGTACAGTGCTGTGTTTTGGATTTAGGATGAGAACAAAGTTGATAACACACTGATGTTTTAGTTGTTGCTA